GAATCAGCCGAACTAGCAAGCCTCAACAACGTTTTAATTTTCTACACCAGGAGTCAAAGTTCCGTTACAGGAAATCAGATCCTCAGCAATCGGCGGTTGAAGGATTAAGCTGTACAAGAGTTCGTACACCACTAGTTGGCAGTGTTGTACATATATTGTACATGAATTGCCAGCTAGTAAGTGTCAAACTGAACTTGCGCTTTAAAATGAGCTTCTGCTAGTTTTTCTATGGCATAAGCTCTTTTGAGGTTGCGGACCTAAATATTTTCATGAGCTCTTTAGAAATTGCGGAGCTAATTTTTGGATTAGCGCTGCCCACCACTGTTGAAATAAAAGTCTGAATGTGGGTATGCACTCAAGGTAAACAAAACACTAAAGATTCCACCAAAAACCACATGGAAGTCATATGACTGACCTACTTTATGCTGTGTGGTAAACTAATATGGTGGAATCAGACAAGCACAGACTCAAGAGATGACGTTTAGGTGAGAATAATAATAATAATAATAATAAGTTACAGTTAATCGGCTGATAAATGAAGAAAGAAACAAACAGAAATCATGAATTTTGATTGTGCCCTGTTGACGTTGCAATGAGTAGCTTTAATACAAAAACAATTAGAGTATCATTAAAATCTGTAAAACAAATAAATTCATCATTAATCTTGGCTTACCCAGCTCTGGCTTTTGCTCTGTAGGCGAGCTAATTTTCCGTGACATCTTGGCTGTAACAGAAACAAATATCCCCTCGTTTTTTTTAGGAAAATAACGTCTACTAAAAATAGATTTTTGCTCCAGTCATTCAGATATATATAATCAGTGTGCAATCATTGATTAAAAATATAAAAGTTTGATCCAAAAGAGGAATAATATCAACTGTAGGACAACTGTTGAGGGAATAAAAAAGTTGAATTTTTCTGAAGCAGGACTGTAGGGCTGGGCGATAAGTCATCAAGTTTTACCTATTCTCATTTCAATATATCCTGAATATTGACTACATTTTTAGCAACTATTTTTCATGTCTGAATCTAATTTATGAGGTGTTTAGTTTTTCTGAAGTCCCTCAAACAACTGAGACCTCCTGCCACCTCCCACACTTCCTGTTCCATGGGGACTTTCCAATTGTCCCTCCGTGAAGCAGAAACATGCGCACACACACGCTCTGGTGCGCGGTAAATCAACAGTGTTTTTTTTAAACCAGAGTCAGAAACTTTTCTTTAACTGTGGAAATTAAATGTGGATGGTTGCCCGCTCTTAAGTCTCAGTAGTAAAGTCCTTGCAATCGGGTTCTGCTCTGCAGCAGATCACTCCAGCAGCATGAGGAAGATCACCTGTATGGCAGGCCACTTTTACATATAATCAGCATCACCACAGTAACGTTCCAGGTTCTGAAAATGGTTTTATGACTACACAACTTAGTTTTTTTAGTGGGAGATACATACAATTCAACCAATACAAATTAAATTTAAGACTTTTTCACGTTATGTTATTTTTATTCTTTTTAAAAGCTTTTTCTAATTTAATAAATATTAGTAATATTTCTGCTATTAATCATAATTCTCTGTTCATCTTTCTGGTTTAGCCAAGGCCAAAGATCCTGAAGGCCAAACTACAGGACTTGTCCATCTGAGGGGCAGGTGTAGTCTAAAAGACATTTAACCATGAAATGTTTAAGATGTTTATAAAATGCACTTAGAATTTAGATTTTTTTTTTTCATTTCATTTATCTTGATGTTTAAGTTAAAATTTCAGGTCATAGAATCACTTTAAAATTACTTTTCAGTAAGTTATATGTCTATGATTCTGGTTCAAATATAGAACTTTATTTTTGCTGGATTGTTAAATTATTTGTGAGTTAATATTGCTTTAATGGACATTGACTTTTAAAAAAAGTGAACCATTAAAACATCAATGTTACATGTGACGCGTTTGCTAATTTGGGTGCCTCTAACTTTTGTTCTGGTGCACCTAAGGAAAAAGGTTAGGCGCAGTTAGTCTGGAACCCTGATGTTACTGTGAAGCAGACAGCTTCAGATACCACCAGAATTAACAGCTGCATTTGCACTTGTCTTTTGGTTGACAGCAGTGTTTTTTTTTCTTTTTAGCTGAATTTAGAGAAATATCTATATCTCATTATAAATTATATTTCAATATAGAGAAGTCTAATTTAATACCCTGTCAAAAAATTGGTTTCTCTTAGCAGAGTAGTAAAGTAACTAAGTACAACTACTTTGTGGGGATGGGTACCTTTGACGTTAGAATCGATTCGGTACCAATATCCGATACCTGGGAATCGGTACCGATACTTAACGGTACCAATTTTTGGTACTTTGTGTGTGTTGTTTATTCGATAATAAACTTTTATTTATAAATATTTTATTTAACATATTTCTCAATATATAAAATTAACAAGTATCAAGACAACATCCAACTCTTTGTATTGTAACATCAGTTGTGTTACTTATTTCTTTAAGGTGAAAACTGTTGAAAACAACAAGACTGTTTTGTCTTATTGCACCAATTAAAATCCAGCTCCACGTGTTTCTATTGATGTCATTAGAAAAACTGTGTGACGGAGGTCAATGGAAGGCAAATAAGTTTAAACCAAATAAACAAAAGAGAGGATGGAGTTAAAATAAATAAAAGGTATTTAAGCTACGTTTTGAACATCCTGAACACGTCCAACACTTCAAGCTGCTTGTGCTCCTTCAGGTCAGACGACTTCAGACTGTCAGGAAGCTCCTCTGTTTTCCTCTGCCGGTCTCTGTTTAATGGTGGATGAAATAAAGAAAGTGATGGTACTTTATTTACTTTGAGCAAGCGAACGTCGTGTTCACAAGATAATTAATCCACCAGATAATTCAGAGGCGATCTGTTCGGTGAGTTTTACTCCAGGAGCTGCGAGGCTTTCAAGCTACGTTCAGACCGAGCTCTGCCTCTGTTTACTGAAGCAGCAGCTGCTGACATCATTACGCTCGTGTGATGCTGCGTTCAGGACAAGCAGGGAAAACTCACAACTCTTACGCCAAACCGGTCGCAATGATGCGTTTAGGTACCGAAACCTGGTACCGTTTGATGTTACGTGAATAGATACTCTGTAGTACCGACAGAATTCGGTCTTTACATCAAAAAGTATCGAATTTGGTACCCATCCCTATTTGTTACTGTACTTAAATAGAAATCTTGGTTATCTGTACTTTACTTGAGTAATTATATTTCAGTGTACTTTTTACTTTTATTCATTACATTTTTACACAATTATCTGTACTTTCTACTCACTACATTTTTAAAAAGGTAAGAAGTAGAAAGTTGTTTCTCTTATTTTATTCTGAGTTATTATTACTTTAAAAATCCTATCCTGATAAATTGTGTTTCCTGGATAGAGTGAATTTAATTGTGTTTGGATGAGAAGTATAAATATATAACATTCTGACAGTATTATCTTGTACACAACCCATCACAGCTGCACGCTGTTAGAAAATATATTTTTGGAGAAGTCACCTCCCAATAAATGTCATTTTGGAAAATCTAACTGCTCACTTTTACTCAGTACTTTTTTAAATACTTAAGTAGATTTTGTGTCAGAAATTTACTTTTAATACTTAAGTACAAAAAATATCAGATACTTTAAGACTTTACTCAAGTAATATTTTTAGAAAAGACTAACTTTTACCAAAGTATTTTATAAGATACTTGTACTTTTACTCAAGTTTCACTTTGAGGTACTTTGTACAGCACTGTCTCTTAGCCTCTCCGATGTTAACACAAATGAATAATCTCATTTGCCAGCGCCGGCCTCTCAGTTACCGGGGTCAGCTGCTCAGGTACCGGTGCCGGCCTATCATTAATCAGATCAACATCTGGCTAAGGATTAGATATAGCCTTCTGCAACGATGTAGCAACTGCCGAATGAGCAATAGTCTTAATTTGGCTCTCCTACTGCACCATCATTTCCTGGCCAGATGAGAAACATAGTCCCTCCAGTGGGTCCTGGGTCTTCCTCGGGGTCTCCTCCCAGTTGGACATGCCTGGAGCACCTCCCTGATTAGTTTAAAATCTTATCTGAGTGCAGGAAAACAGTTGGCTGATTTTGAACAGCGACTCTACTAATGTTTGTGTTCTGTTAATCCTTATATCAGTGTATATCATTTTAATGCACTATTACTATTTTCTGTTTTACTTAAAATATCGCCCAGCCCTACTCTGAAGGTCACAAACCTTAAATGATTCAGGTCACTACTCCTTTTCACCAGGAGTGTTTCCATCTAAAACATAAATCCCCAAAAGTTGCCTGTTGCAGTGAAACAGCCCTCAGAGGGACCAGAATACAAATGAGGCAGAAGCTTCACAGATGACCCTGGACCGTCAAAGCAAGAGACAGCCCAAAAATAAGGTTATCATTCAATAAACACTGTTGTGTATAAAGAGCAAGAGAAGAATGAAATAACAATAAAGAGGACAGTTACAGTGCCTGAAATTCACTTTTAAAATTGGGGGGAAATCCCCACTTACATGTTTCAGAGCGGGGGGGATTTATACATTTTGGGGGATTATTACTGATGAGCACGACTACAGGTTTTACGTCAGGGGTGGGCAATCCTGGTCCTGGAGGGCTGCAGCCCTGCATGTTTTACTTGTTTCTCTGCTCCAACACACCTGATTTGAATGAACATGACAGGCTTCTGCAGTACGGAGGACCAAAACTGACATATTTAGAAATAAAAGCAGAATTATATAAATGAACTATTAAAAAAATACACTTAAAGGCACCAATTAGAGAACTTTATCTCCTGTTTTATATTTTAATTGACTCATATTTATTTTTCCAGATTAGTTTCAATAAATTAGTCTATATATTTTAACACATAATTAAAATTTTACTGTTTTTTACGTATTAATTGTTTTTCCTTTACTTGTACATGCATTTGTGT